GTCATTTACACATGTTTTTACCCCCGTTCTTACACCGTTTGAGGTTTTGATTCTCGTGTTTTAGGCCGATTTCACGCTAGGTTGTGCTTGTTTGTGATATTTCAGGTCCTAGTACGTGAATGAAGGCTTAGGAGCGAGTCTGGGTCGATTGGACGAAGAACGGACGAATGGCGAGCTGTTTGGGGAGTGCACGGGCAGACCAGGGAGGCTGCACGGCCGTGCACTTGAGCCATATGGCCGTGCGCCTCATGCCGAGGCCATGCACGGGCAGGCCCTGAAGCTTGCACGGCCGTGCACCTGGCCGTGCAAGATGTCTGAGTTCGAACTAAATGAAACGGCGCGTTTCAGGGTGCACGGCCAGAATGGTGTTGTGCACGGCCGTGCACCTGGCCGTGCAACTCGGGGAAACCGGTTTTTAAAGCCTAATCCGAGCCAAAAGTGGGAGAATCGTGTTTTCAGAGCAAAAACAGAGCCCTAGAGAGAGAAAGTGCGAAGAAACACATCCTAGAAGCTGTCTTAGAGCTGGATTTCATCGAATCGAGCTTGGAGATCGTCATAGGAGTGAAATCATCGTCCCCGAGCAGATTATCCTCATCGTTATGAGTATGACTAATCCGATTCTTGTTTTCTCTTCTCTCTCTATGGAGTAGAAACCCTTCTCTCACTTGGGTATGAAGAACCCTAGTTCCTTGTGTTAGGGATTTGATTGTAATGACTTGGGATGATATTACTGTTTGATTTTAATCGAATGATGCATGTTTATTGAATTGATTTGAGTCTGATCAGCTTTTCTCAATTTCTGCTGCAACCTGAGATAGATAGAATCTGATTAGGTTGTTAGAGCCTCTTCATTCGATAGTAGGGGATTGCCTATACGAGAGTTAGCCAGTTTACTGCTTTGTACTGGTGTTCTTGGCGCCAGTAGTGGAGTTCTGTGTTCATAGCCTCAGCTTTCTATCCCGGTGAAGACTAGTCGTCTGCCGGGTAGTTAGACTGAGAGGGCTTGGTCAGCTTAAGAGATTCCAAGCTACTGTCGGATCTTCCGCAGTCCTAATCAACAGTAAATCAACCCAGGGAATTGCAATTGAACCTAACTAAGGGGCTAGGGGGACTCAATCCCGAGTGACTCTTGCCTGCTTTAGAAACCCGAACAATTTACTGCTTTCTTGTTGCTTTCACTTTTCACAACAATCACTCGACTTAGTTTGCTAGATAATAGAGAATCACGGAGTAAGCAGTAGATCTAGACCCCGGGTTGATAATTAAACTTGCCTATACTGCAGTCCCTTTCATTGGTTACACTTGGCCATTGTTAGGTGTTGTGTTTTAGCGTGTCAAGTTTTTGGCGCCGTTGCCGGGGACCCTCTAGGTTATTGGGGAAACGTGATAATTTGTTACTCTAGCTTTTTCTTTATTGCATTTTTCTTTTCCACCTGTGTGCCTTCACGGGTTGTTTCTGCTGACTGTGTGCAGGTAGTGCATGACCCGTAGCCAGTCGGGAGATCTACTACCACTTGACCAGGAGCTTGAACGAACCTGCAGGAACTCCAAGCGGGTTCTAAAGGCGCGACTGGCTGCGGAGAAGGCGCTGTCACAGCTACAGATCGGAGAAGAAGAAGAAGAAGGAGAGATGGGTGATCCGCAGAACAACAATGTGATCCCCGGGGAGCAGACCATGGGATCCTACTGGACCGCTAGGGCTGCGGACATGAGGTCCCCCATTCAACACCCTCAGGTCCCAGCCAACAACTTTGAGGTGAGCACCTCCGTGATCACCATGCTACGCGGTTCAGTAGTGTTCCGTGGTAAGGAGGGAGAGTGCCCTCGATCACATCTCAGGCGATTCCATGAGCTCATAGATGGAATCAAGATCAATGGGGTACCGGCAGATGCCATCCAGCTGAGGTACTTCCCATTCACTTTGGAGGGGCAGGCCAAGGAGTGGCTAGACACTCGACCTCCGGGCTCCATCACCACGTTCGCCAACCTGGCGGACAAGTTCCTCACCCGCTACCATCCTCCATCCAAGACTGCTGATCTCTAGAAGCAGATTACACATTTTTCTCAGGATGAGGATGAGACCATTAGGGATGCTTGGGAGAGGTACACCAGCCTCTTTCTCAGGTGTCCCAATCATGGTTTCAATGATGCGTTCAAGGTGGGCACCTTCTATCACGCCCTCTTCCCGGAGGACAAGCAGCTGATCGATTCGGTTTGTGGCGGGAACATGCTTACCAAAACCCCGCCACAGCTGAATCAACTCTTTGAGGAGATGGCGGAGAACGGTTATGACTGGGGCACTGCCAGGAGATCGAGACGAGCACCTGGACGGGGTGTGCATGCTGTGGGCACCCAGTCATCTGATTTAGTGCAGGTAGTATCGAAGCTGGTCTCGTCTATCGATCATTCCGGGATGATTCCAGGGACCGGACAGCAGCAGGCGATGCTCTGCCAATGGTGCGAAAGCACCCATCATACGGTGGAGGACTGCCAGGCGATGAAGGAATCAACCACACCCCGGGAGCAGGTGAACTTCATCAACAATGTCAGGCGCAATGACCCCTACAGCAACACGTACAATGAGGGGTGGCGCCAGCATCCTAACTTCTCCTGGGCTGGGCCAAATCCCAAACCACCAGCTCCCCAGGGACCACCGGGCTTCCAGAGGCCACCATATCAGCCCAGACAGGGGCAATTCCAGCAGCAACAACCGCCTCTTTATCAGCCCATGCAGGGGCATGCTGCTCAATCACAGCCGCGGCCTTTCCAGCAGCCAGGTGCAGCCCCTGCTGCCCCAGTGCAGAATGATCAGATGGCTGAACTGCGGGACTTGGTGGGTTCCCTCGCCAGTACTAGTGCTCAGAAATTCAACACCTTTGAGCAGTTCATGGAGAAGGCCTCGGGTAAACTCCTGGCTCTTGAAGCTGGGCAGAGGAACACACAGGCTTTTTTGCACGATATCCAGACCCAGCTGGGGAGCGTGGCCCAGGCAGTGGCTCAAAGGGCTCCTGGTACTCTACCAGGGCAGACCATCCCTCACCCACCGGCCCCGGATGAGCGGTGCAATGCCATCATGACCAGGAGTGGCAAGATGACTGTTGATCCCCCTGCTCGGGAACCGGAGTAAGAAATCTCTGTTCCATCGTCTCCAGCGGTTGAACAAGAATTAGAGAAGGAGGTTGAGGTGCCTGCACCTAAACCGCAACCAGTGGTGAAGGAGTATGTCCCTAAACTCCCTTTCCCTACTCGGTTGCACAAAGACAGGCTGGAGGCAGAGTTCGAGAACTTTATGGCCATGCTTAAGAAG